CACTGTACTTTCCACCTACTGTAACTTATGTGCACATTATAAGAAACACTACATTATGGACATAATAAACGCTTACAAAGCTTTCCAAAAGCTTCACTTCAGGTCATTCAAGTGGTGACAAACAGTATGGAGTTTAGCTAAAATAGTGCTCTAAATCACACATAAAATGCTTATGTTTGTAATAAAACCAAACAAAAACAACATCCTTTTTGGAATCAAGGAATTTGTTTTTTTGTCGTTTGTACTAGTCACACAGTGAGTGAGTGGCGGGATTATTAGCACAGCTCCCGTTGCTGGATGCAGCTTAGGGGAGAAAGGCACAGAAGCCACACACAGCTTTGTTTACAACTGCAAGTTACTCGGTTTTGTTTGATTTCAGACTTTTGTCCATGTAAAGGCCTTGCCAGAGGCGGATCTCCAATAATCTTCATAACAGAAGAGGAACAAATAACCCTGGTCCTCTCTCTTTTCCACATTAAAATGTCTGGTGAGACTGAGGAAAAACATGACTTTCCGTTGAGAAAGCAAAACTTGCTTGACTGTTTTCCACTGCCTCTTCTCATCCTCTGAGATGTTCAAGATTTCATATTTGTCTGCATTATCCAGATTGTTGGAGTTTATTTCATCCAGTATTGGCCAGTGGCTGTAGTAGTGATTCAGATGGCACAGGTCAGGGTTATGTACATTCAGTTTGCAGTCTTCTCTATGCCATGATGAGATGGTTGCTCCGCTCTCTGATGTCTGCTGGAGGAACAAGATCTTTCTTCACTGGGGTTGGCGAAAGGGTAGAGCGTCTACCTTTGGGCTTGAACAAATCAGACACAAAGAATACCTGTGGAAGGAATAGAAAAAAACCTTCAATGTCTCAATCATTGCAAAGTGGAACACTGCATATCAGAATGAATGCTGTTACCAAGAATTAGAACAGAAATAAAACTAAACATTTCATATATTTAATGTTTCTTTTTATTATGCCTCCTGTGGATTGTGGCACTACAGTTTTCTGTGGTCCAGAGTAATGCCACTTCCTTTCCTTTGCAGATACAGTATGGAGTCCCTCAGATCTCCTACTGTTTCCCATTTACATACACCCTCTCTACAATATAACTTGATTAATTAGTTTCATTGTAATGCTAACAATCCCCAACTGTATGTACCTGTTGACTGCCATAATTTAAGTAGCTGAGATAAAAATGTTTTTTAAGAAACTTGCTTAATTGAATGAAGAAAAATGAATCCTGTTTTAACTGTATATTCAAGACACATTGTTACAGTATCATTTTCAGATATAGAGAATAACATTATTCACGCATTATGATCATTTGGATCACTGCAACTTTTGTTTTAAGGCTTTGGGTGTTATGCACACTCCTGTCTTAACACTTCACATCACAAGAACAGAGAACAAGAAAGATTACCACATGTCACAATTTTTGGATCCGTGTTAAGTCTTGGATTTTAGAATTAAAATCAAAATTATTTCACAATTAATGCCACTCAAATTCTTAATGATTTCGGATTACAACATTACACATTACAACATAATAGATCCACTCACAATGCAGTAGGCCACCAGGGCTCCCTGCACAAAACCCGCCAGCACATCAGTGGGGTGGTGCTTGTGATCAGAGACACGGGACAGGCCGGTGTAGAAAGACATCATGATGAGGGTGAACTGGGTCAGAGGGCGCAGCAGGCGAGCTCCATGCCAAGTGAAACGAGACTGCAGGTAAAACTGCAAAAGAGACATACAGAAGCTCTTAATTGTCGAGGGAGGGAAATTTGTTTTTAATATGGTGTGTATTCATGCACGGTACAGCAGAATGTGTGTGTGTGTGTGTGTATTTTAAAAATGATTTAGTAACTCACCACCAGGTAAAGCATGGTGTACATGGAGAATGATGCATGTCCTGAGAAGAAAGACTTCCTGAGAAGAACAGGGAACAATCAGCACATAGCTTACAATGTAAAAGCTATCACTAGTCAACATGACTGCAAACACATATGTAAAAATATTTGGCAATTACCTGGCCTCCTGAACTTTGCTCTCTGGCCCCTGGCACTGGTAGTCAGTGATGTAGCCCAGGGAGCAGTTGATAGTGGAGAAGTCCGGTTTGCACACATCGAGGAAGTGAGGGCGCATGCGGCCCACTGAAACTTTGGCGATGTCAGTGAAGGACTGGCTGATGGCACAGCCGAAGATGAACACGCCCACCTGCTTGTACAGAGCAGAAATGTAGGGGTTCCCCACAAAAGACTTGGATCCCTCATTCAGAAAGTAGATCCTGTAGCTCTCCCCAATGATGATCTGAAGGGACAGAAGGGATGGAAACTCGTGAAAATCGAATATAATTTTGACAAAGTCCCAGTGTCCACTGTAATTGACATTAATGCTCAGTGAAAATGTGTGAGTGCAGGAGAGCCAAAATATTTTATGAGGAATGGAACAGCACTTTGACTTTATATGTATTGCTCATTATCTAAATACAAGAATACCCTAATAAACTTGTTCTTGTAAGGTCTTTTTTCATCATTTCAAACATCACTGTTCTTAACATTACAACACTGTAAACTACTACTACTACTGTAAAGACTACCAACTTTGTAAGTGTGTGTGTGTGTGCGTGTGTGTGTGTGTGCGTGTGTGTGAGACAAAAATAACTTTTTTCCGGATCAAGATGTTATTAAGACAGCTAAAATAGGAGTCAAAGCTTTCTCTTGAAGTGGTTTGAGAAGGGCTACTTTATAGTTGAAAGTGTTTACCTGTGCCATTCTACTGAGAGAGAAAACAGTGTGGCGACTTGGGAGGCAACTCCAACTGTCTGCGACGTATAGTTTTCTGTAAGTGTGTAAATAAACCACCGTCTAAAACCGACGATTGACGTGTAAGGCGCACTTAGGGGGAGGTGGATAGCTGTAACTCGCAACAGCTGTTCAAGCTCAAAACGCGCCTTCCCAACCCCCTCATCCCCCGTTGTCTTCCAACAGCTCACAAATAAAAGTGTGGAAGAGGAGTCAGAGAGTGTGGGGGAGTTCCAGGGAGAAAGTGAAGGGATGGAAAGCAGAGTGACAGGATGGGAGGATAGAAAGCAAAACAAGTATGTGAGAAAGAGTCACAGGACAAGAAGAGTGCAAACGAGGAGAAAGATAGACGAAAGAGGAAGGTGAGAGGAGGAATGAGTAGTGGAGTGGGAGGGGAGGAGTGGGGGAGGCACCGCTGGTTCTAATCAGCAGAAACGCTGAGCTAGGCGACGTGTCTGATTTTGGTAGCCAGACTCCACCAGGCGCATGTCGGGGGCACGTTTGTTTTTCACTGCTTCGGCTGTCTCTCTGAAACGGCTCCGATTTCACAAGGGATTTCTGGCTGTTTTCATGTCGGTTTCATCAGACATTCTTTTGAGGGGCGCAGAAATAAGTCTCATTCTGGAAAACACTCTATGCGGAGGGATAGCCTTTATGGAGATTTGACAAGCTGATAGAGTGTGTTGTTTCCACCATCCAGGCCTTTAGAGCCAGCTCGATAAAGCCCAGCTGCTTTCATGGGAAAGAGGGAAGGGGGAAAACACACATCTGGTTCCCCTTGTGTGAACGATTTAACTATGTGAATGAATAAATGAATTGGCATTGCAGGATATGCAACTGTTGCACTGAAACCTCAAGTGATAATCATGGGGGCAGGACACTGATTTGTGGCTTATGTCAAATGTCTTGTATTTCCAAAATGACACCATGGTGTTTTCATTTCTTCTAAAAGGGGTGTGCATAAATTATAAAGGATGGGGCCTCTTGTGTTTCTCAGCTCTATTCAGAGAGAAATGAAGCACTAAATGACATAATGTTGGCGTTTTCAGGTTCACAAAACACAAAGGCTAGCCAGAGCACTCGAGGGGTCACGTTTTGCCGGAGGAAAATGAGATATCTGGCGATGTCTTCTTGTTTGGAGCTTTCACCACAATTCCACCCCACCAATTACAGTATTTAACCGAACAACCATTGCGTCAACCATAATTACACGGAGTCAAAACTCCTTCTCACCATGAAAACCCCTGTGGCCCCAAGCCTGTATAGTAGTCTGCTCTCCAGGATGAGGGCACAACTGGCAACAGGGAGAGGCAATGGGGAATTTAGGGCACCTTTCCCCTGGGGGTCTGATAGGTGACAACTGCACATGCTATGGCAGTGTGGCTGTGTTAGCGGAAATGCTAGCCATTATGGGGCCGTGTAGACAGATGCATTACTGAAAACTGTGGCAGGAAAACATCCGGACCGCTGAACTCCTTTGAACCTCGGAACAGTGGCAAAAATGAAATGGAATTGCAGGATGTTGGGAAGACGGTTTAGTGTGCCGATCTCGGATACATCTTCACTGTTTTCTCCCAGGAGAATGCAACAAACTACTCAACACTTCACTTACTCAAGTGCCTTAATCAACTGAGTCATCTTAAGCCCCCAGAGAGAAAGCCTTGAACAAATGTTGTGGACTGGTTTTTATCTAAATGTGCTGAAGCCGATCAGATGGACTGATAGCACAGGTATGGGAGGTGTTGTTTCAGTAATCATGCAGGATAATCAACTGTCAGATAAAGCCCTCTGACGGAATGTGTGCAAGTGTATTTCTCTGAAGATGAGTGCAGGAGGAATGTGCATAGTTTGCATGGAGAAAAACACACACATTTCATTATAATCAACAACTACAATCAACAGTCTAAAATCTATACATCCTGACCATGTTATTAGATTTTGTTAGAAAACCTACTGTTATAAACAAATTAGAAGTGCTATTAGAAATACTACAATGCACTAGGGATGAGAATTTATGCTGTGAACATCATTACATAAAGTGTCAGCGGCTGCTGCTAGTGATGGTGAAGGCTGCTGAAACTAAAGACGTGATGAGGACATTAGTGATCAGAGTGAGGTGACTTACAGAGAGGATGGTGATAAGAATGCCAGCAGCGCTAAGCACACCGTCGCTAATGGTGTCTCCCTTTTTGGCCGGGTACTTGATGGACTCATCATCGCAGTAAAACCCTCTACGGTAGGGCTGAACAGCGCTGGTCTCAATGACCAAGAAAGGCAGGCCGGCTAGTGTGAAGAAGCAGTGATCGGCACAGAGAGAAAGGGGG